GTATCTGTGCAGTCAGGAAGGGATTAACTTGCTGGTTAGTCACAGTTCTTCCTGGACATACCAGAATTAATAGACTGGATTTCAAGATCCTCTCTTATTTGCTATTGCTAATGTCAGCAGCTGTCCTGGCAAAATAACTTGAGTTGCATATTATAAGTGTTCTTTTTCTTTCCTCAGCTGTTCACTTGTTCTAATATACTAAAGGAATTTACAGTGTATCCACTCTTCCTCTTTGGTTGGTTGGTGTGTTTGTGGTTTGGGTTTAGTTTATTTGTTTGTTTTAGCAAAAGCTCTGTTTTAAGTATAACAGTTCTTGGTCCTGAATTTCCCTTGTCTGAAGAACCTGTATAGGGGTTACATATTTTTCAGCTCTTTCTTGTCCTTTGTTCAGAGCTATTCAGAGGTTGACTCATTTCCTGAGCCTTTTAATGGCAGAAAGGTATTTAGGAAACCATGTGCCAGAATGTTCTCAGTGCCTGCAAGGAGAATTGGTGTTCAGGAGTTATTAAAACACAAGAGTTATTAAAACATAACGTCTGGCCTTCAGTAGTAAAAGGGATGTGGGTTTGGATACTTGGGACCCAGATGTTGCTCCTTCATGCTCTAGTTGCCTGTCTCCTACAGTGGCAGCTGACTGATCTTTCAGAGTAAAGCATTTAGATGCCTTCCATGCTCCTGGCTCCTTGCCTAGTTTTTTACCAAAGCAGAAGGATTTTTGGTATAAAACAGCATCTGTTTCCAGACTTGATCTGTCTCTTGAATGATGAGGGCTGATAATTTTAAACTTCATAGGCATAAATGTAAATACTTTGGATTGTCAGGATAAGTGCCCAGCTTTCTGAAATCCAGAAATACTTCACTGTTTTTGTGTCCCTGTGTCATGATTCCCTTATGCTTCATTGGCCACTGCATATGAACATTTCCCTTCTGTTTTCTCTAAGCAGGTAGTACTTGTTGCTAATTTCATCTTGCATCTTGTGTCAAGGGAGACTTTTTTTTGATATCAAGAAATGATAGCCAGATTTTCTTTCTCCTCAATTAAAAAAAAGGAGAGGGGGGGAGGAAGTGTGTACAATTAAGTGTTTGAAATATATGATGTAAATGACATCCCTAGAGCTTAAAAATCTTTTTATTCTCTGGAGAAACACATTCTATCCCATAGCTGTTGAAGGCTTCCTACTGTCCTACTATTTAGGGAATTAAAAATTTTTCACTGATTGGTTCAAAGTAGAAGAAAAATGTTTAATTAGTCACTCTCATTGTTCTTGAAAGAAATGGCAAGGAAAAAAAGCAAAACCTAATGTTTTTCTTCTCCAGATGTAAAGATCTGTTTTGATAGTGAATGATGTTCTGGGATTGCCTAAACCAGCTAGGGTAAATCCAAGCCAGCACTCCTAGTGATAAATATATGGGATACTTTTAAAACACTTGGCAATGGAAGAAAACAAGCTGCATGCATCATTAAACTGAAGGATCTGGGGAGAAACCATGCAGCTTCAAAAGTAGTACAGATCTTTTATGATAGTAGTCTATGAAGTTAAGACTGTTTTCCCTTTCTGTAGAGTTCTCCTTTACATGACTTGTAATTTGTAGGTAGTATCTTTTGTTTCACTAAGAAAAATATGTTTCTTTAATGATAACATGTAGATGTTCCTCTGGTTGTGTTGTTTCATTACAATTATTAGCTTGTTCGTGTAATGGTTGAATTGCGAATAAAGGACTGAAAAATACCATCTCACTTGCATTCAAATTGCTTTTTTTTTTAACTGCAGGTATTCAGTGTATAACACATCCTGAGATACTAAAGATACTAGTTTCTTAAAGAAACTGCTACCAGTAGTATAAAATTGGCTGATTGTTCCCCTTGTTGTTGATAACTTGTACAGTTTTTTCTACCATTCTGCATGTATGCATCAGGAATAATGTTGTAGGCTGAGACAGCTGATTACATTGATGGGTTTCCCAAACACTAACTCAGATGACTGAAAATTCTGCTTTCCTTACCAGTTGATGTGGGAAGGCTAAATTTTTAAGTTCTTGCTGGATGTTAAGGAGCAAGTGTGATGTGTGAGAGGATTTATGATTGAAAGGAGCGATTCCTTGGAGTAATTGCGGTATTTTGAGGCTTGAACAGATTTCAGTTCATGAAGAGTACAGTGTGTAGTCATCGTGAATGATCTTTCTTGGGGTAATGCTAGCCACTTGTAGATTAAAAAATGAAGTTGTAGAAATGAAGCTATACTTATGAGTTGAGTTTGGAATGTAAAATGCAAACAATCTTAAGTGAACACGGCCCATCCCCATCAGTATTAAAGTTGAGAGTCCGCATTCAAGCAGGTTCTCATTACTTCAATGCAAGTTATGAACAGATAGTAAGAGCATTCACTCCAGTAGGTGAAAATTACTTGCTTCTGTGCCATCTCCATTTCATGACATTTTAGTTAATTATACTGTCCAATAATGACTTATGACTGTGCACAGAGAATTGAGATAAAAAGGAAGAATTGTAGTGATTTTCAAAAGCAAGATCAAAGAGTATTGCTGCCTAAAATGGGGGGATAATATATTCCATGAGCTCCAATCACTGGATGACCACTGGGTTTTTCTTCAGCTGTAAATTAGGGGATTATACAACTCCTGTATAGCATTAATTATTAAATAAAAGCAATTTCACAGTTTTATTCATTCATGAAATTCCCGTAAAGAGTGAGAGATTTGCAGTGTCTTCTTTGTTACTTGTGAATCCCTTTTTTATTTTTCTTTGTAACTGCTCTGATGGATGGTGCCTGATCTAGGGCAAACTCTCCCCTGTGATGCTTGTCATCAGACCTTTTGAGTTCTAAAGTAAATTCTAGTAATAAGACAGGTCTTCTGAAGAAAAGTATGTATTTGCTTCATCCTTTATGCTCCCTGTTTTATCAGTGTTTCTGGTTAAAATTCAGGTACTGAATATCACTGGTGCATTATGACAAGCCTATTTTTTTTTCAATTCTTTGACTGTAAATAAAGAGACAAAGAGACATAAATGTTCTTATTTGCACATACTCATATTTGCTGGTTGTAATGAGAAAATACTGTTTCGTAAATTACTTGGTGCCTACCAACTGGATGGTCTGCTGGTTGTACATAATATAGTAGGATGTAAAATCACCTAAAATTCCATTTTTTCTTATATTGTCTCTTTAGTTCAATGTATCTTGCATTAGTTTCATCTTAAACTGTTGTGCATCAAGCTATAACATAAATCCTACTTGCCTGCCTGCAGTCAATATAGCAAGTTCTCTTTGTGTATGACTATCTGTTGGAGACGTGTGTCTATGATAGAGACAAAATACTGAGTAATGCTGGTTCCAAAGGAAAAAAAGTAAGGCTTCAATACCAAGCATCTTAGGTGGCTTAGTCATTTAGCACAGTGTGCACATTAATATTTAAAATAAGAACATGAACAATGCTGGACAACAGATGAATTCAATGCAATTACAAGCACTCCATGAAAGGTTTCCTTCCTGATAGAGCTGCCTGTGCTCCAGCCATTTGTGCTGCTTGCTGAGTGGCTCAGAACTGCTCAGAAAGCAAGAAAAGACCTTTGCAGAAATACCCAGTCCCCACCTGACCTGTTCCTGTTAGTGTTTCAGGGTGTTTGTGGAGCACCAGCGCGTCCCGTTGGTCTCTGCTGAGTTTGGGCTGAAGGTAATTCATGCCTTTGGGGTAAAATGGCACAATTAGCTGTTATTGACACAGTCAGGTCAGTGTGGGTGAAGTTTTACTCCAGTTTTGCTTCTTCTGTAAGGGGAGTATAGGCTGTGCCAAAGGTGTGTTATCCGTGAGCAATAAGGATATGATAAGGGCATGATTGTGAAAAATGGAATAATAATAAATAAATGTCACAGTTCAACTTTCCCAGTACCAGTCTTGCATGAGTGTGTGTACTTGTGAAATGTGTTCTTTCTGGTTTTGAATTGCTGAGAATTTGCCACAGTCATTCTGGTTTTACAGGCTATGTTATTGGGTCTGTGGGCATGTGTTCACTCTTGTGAAAGGGTTCTGTATGTTATAAAATACTGTGTGTCTTTCTGTTTAAATATTTCTTCTTGCTTATATATAATACATTACCAAATGTAAAATAAGAAGCTGCCATGCTTTGTGCTATGAAACAAACTCTTAATTTCAGGTCTTACTTGTTTCAGAAAGGTGTGCCTTAGCTGTAAAGGAAATCCATAGCTTCAAAATCAGTAGGAGTGGTTGCTACTAAAAGCTGAATTACTAGTGACACTTAAAATTTAGAATTTAAGAATGTTTATGACTGGTAACATATATAATTGTCTGTTCAGAGATCAGAAATTTTGGATATTCATTTATTAGTGCTAACTGAGCCAAATGCTCAGCTCAAATGTGTGATCATTCTTCTAGCTCTAAACACTGTCTTAAGTTGTAACATTTAGCACAGCAATACAGATACAGTTTTTATGAAAAGAAAGCATGAGTCAATATATCAGATATCACTTCTAGACTTTTTGAGTAAAGTGAGTCATAACAGTTAAAGGTGAAAAGTAATCACTAATTTGATTTTCTTTAATCTGTTTTCTTACAAAGTGTGAAATTTTTGAAGGTGCAAGGTTTGCCTAGAAACAACCCATTATTTTCACCCTTATTTTCAGTCTGTGATGAAAAAGAACTAAGAAGTGAATCAAATTCTGATGTCATTTATGAAATATAAGTTTTTATAGGACTCAGACACACCAATGAGCTAGAGCAGACTGACAACAGATCCTGTGCCAGGTAAAACTTAGTGAATGATCAGTCAATGGCAAAAAAGTGCAAAGTGAGCCCATTTGGAAGTGTGAAAAACAATGGCATTTTCATTGCATGTGACCACAGTAAAGCCTGATTAATTATCTGCATTTGTGTTTATCACAGTATGAATATATTTATTTTTTTTTCCTCCCTTTCAAGTGCAAACTGAGTTCACTGTTTAACACTGATGCTTTTTATCTTTGCAGTGTGCCGGGAAGACTCATACCAGTCAATAGTGTCATGTGCTGCTGTAGTACTTACCCCTGTGGAGACGACAGTGGATACAAGGAAAAAAGAGCAGATGATAATGCCTGATGTGTCCAAACAGTGAGTTATTCAAATAACATGATCTTTTACAAGTGCAATTTAAACACCAGGCCAGATTCCTTCTCATGGATATGCATATACACCCTCCTTTCTCTTTCATCAGGGCTTTCATAGGTGTTTCCAAAAGTAGAAACTGGCCTGAGGCTAAGCTGCTGCTTTTGTTCATTAGCCTACATTTTTTCCCAAGACTTTTGGTAATGACATTTATAGAGGGAATATAGAGGGCCTTTATATGCCAAGAAACGGACTTTTTAACAGATTTGATAAGGTGATTCTTTTTGTTTCAATAGTCCTTTCATTCTGGCAAGTAGTTGATTTTTGTAGAGGAGGTGATTGGTAAATACTCAGCTCATCTGATATATTTCAGTATTTTTCAGTGACCATTTTACCTCTGTGATGCGAGATACAATGGCATCTTCAAAAGTGTGGTAGTGTGTTCTTCCAGGGAAATTCTGTCTACTTAATTACAGTGTATTTTGGTGTCTTGCATTAAATAAAGATCATAACCACAGAGTGTACAGTAACATTTGCCTTGTAATACCAGGCAGGATGGTTATTTCTTAATGATTGAGTCTTTGGAAAATAAAGGTAATTTTGTTTACATGAAAAGAAAGAAAACACAATTGTAAGGCTTTACCACAACACAGACTTGAGGTCTGTACTTTTTAAAGTGTGGAAAGTATTAAAAAACATGACAATGTATAACATCATTTGTGTATTTACCATTTCTGTTTAGTTTTCTGCCTCCCTTGGTATATACAAGTTTAAAATAATCTGTGGAGTTCTGGCTTGCATGCCTATTACTGTAAAAAAAAATTAAAACGTTCCCTCACGTCCCCAAAATCCCTGTAACATCCAAAACACCACTGGTGGATTAGAGTAGATTAGGTAGGTTGTGATCTTGCTATGGATCTATGACTTAAGTCTGTATCTGGCTGTGGTATCTTCTTCAAGGTGGTGATAAACCCTTTTCATCTCAATTACCTATACTTAAAATTTAACACTGTGCATTACCTGTTGTCCAGGTGTTACTGCCATGGCCTTGTGTTTAAAGTGCTGTGAGCATCTAATTGTTGTAGTGCTTCCCTTGTGTGGCTCTCTGAATGCCAAGAGATTGGAAAGGCAATGGGCTGTAAAATACTGTGCTGAAATCCAGAATAATCTTTTCTGGTTAGTTCAAAGCAGCATAGAACATTTTTTCTTGTCTTCACTAAAAGGGAAACCTGCACTGTTGCTTGATTGGCTTTTTTGTCTACTATGATGAGATTCAGCATTTAATAATCTCTTATGAATTCAAAGTAGGAATCTGTTTAGCATGTGCTGAATGAAGCCATCTCCCAGATTTTTGGCATGTTTGGGTTTTTATTTTTTCTTTACAGCCTGATTAGTGTTATCTTCTAAGAACACAGACATAACTTTTCATAAGCACTCAGAGGTCTCAGAAACATGCTCTAACCTCTGTTACTCTTCCAATACTCATGTTTAAAAATACAACCTGTGCCTCTGGAATTCTTTATACTAGAAACAAGATCGTTCTTAAACAGATTAAACCTATTTGAACTTCTCCGTATGAAACTGTATCAGTGTATAAGTGTCTTTAAGCCAACATTTCTGACAAGTATATTTGAAATTAGAAAGAACCATCTTGTTGGAAAAGATTTGCAACTGGAATTTGGTAAATTTTGTAGAAACCTTAAGAGTAATTGTAGAGAGGTGAAAGCATGCAGCGTCAAGAAAATCTCCAGCATTATGAATGAAACATCGGCATACTGATCTTGCATTTCACCCTGTGCTTTCTACATGCAGACAGTTTTCTTCATATCCAGTTAATGGAAGCAAAACAGATCCTAATTCCCGTGTCTAAGTATCCCAGTGTCATCTGTCTCCAATGCAGACGTGCCCTTGGCATTTGTTGAATTCCATTGACTGGAATGCAGACTCCATGTATGAGCTGGTGTGCATGTGTGGATTATAGTTACTGGTATTCAATTCATGTGGAAAACAACATTGATGCTTTGATTTTTATTCTTATGTTTGTGTATCTACATGGTTTTGACTTACATGTCCAAAAATTGTGCATATAACAGAGGGCTGAGCAGTAGCCAGCCATCCAGGTCCTGTAGGGAGAAGTTTCTGCCTTCAGGCCGTACAGGGACAGACTATGTTTAGGATAACTAATGCTTTCTAAAGCTACATGAGAAAGTGTGTAATCCAAACCAGATAAAATGCATATTAATGATAATAAAATGTTAAACAGTTACAAATAGCTAAAAATAATTATCTTGTGTGCCACAGTAAAATTACATCCAAGACATTCAGGACACAAGCTGTGAAGACTGGTCAGAAAAAAAAATAAAAAGCTTTCAGTGCTACTTGTATAATATTTGATTAATGATGTTATTTTGTCCTAGAAAGAAACTGTTTAGTGGCTTTAAATAATGTATCTGCTTAATGTATTTTTTTTGTAAGCAGCAAATGGTGCCAGAAGTGGTAGCAGCAAATCTTAACGAGACTTTAAGTGTCCATGATTAGATATTATCAGGACTGCAGGAGTAAAGGGCCAATTTTTTTATTTTTTCCCTCTGTATTTCTTCTTGGAAGCTCAAACCATTTCATCAGGGAGTAATTTCATAGTGATGCTCAGGTAATTGCTGACTCGTTGCTTGGGCACTGAACAAAATCCCTACCTCAGTTATTCACCTGGAATGGATTTGGCAAGAGGAAGAGCGCGCCTTTGCAGTTTTTGTCTTTCCACTCCACTGAGGCAGTGAAATGCATGGTCAGTGTGAGGTTGGGGTGAAAAACAGGAAATGTGAGCTCTGCCTTATTTTGTCTTCTAGGTCTTCTACTTTGTCTAGGATGTTGCATTATCTTTGCTATATTTTGTAGAAATACAAGTCTTAAAAACCTCTTGCTGTCTTAATAGTTCAAGTTATAGAGGCCTCTTTGTGTTGCCATAGTGATACATCAGTCAGTTGTTCTCGAAGGTGCCCAGATGCTAAAACAATTGGAACATTTTTAACAGTGAATTCTGCTTGGAATCCCAGTTTTAATCCTTCCTATCTGAATTCAAATGTAAATAAATCAGCTGCTGGCACAGAGCAATGGCATGAGGAATCCTCACTTCTATTTGAAGTTCTTAGGAGGCAGCATGGGAGAGGAAGCGTGGGCCAGGGAACTGTATGTTATGCTCTAAATCAACTTAGCTTCAGCTTCACTGGGCAAACTCTTGGCTGAAAGGTCAGCCTACGAGGGGCAGTGTGGAAAAGAAGTGTCTAAAGACACACGAGTCCCAGAGCAGACAGTGTTCTGCTGCTCTGTGATGTTCATAGGTAAACATAGAAAACCATTCATGTGCTACTGGTGCATGAAAAAAGTATGGTGAAATTCAGGCGCATCATTTTTTAATCAGATTTAAGGTTAAGCTGATAGTTGTGTATTTCATTTGATGTGTTTCTTTGGGTATGACTGCCCAGCAGTTCAGAGTGGTGATTGCAACCATCTGAGCTGGCTGATTTCAAGGTGGTTTGTGCATTAGTACTTCAACTGCTGTCATATTTCTGATTTTGATTTTTACTTAAAGATATTATTTGCTGTTGAAGTGCTCTTAGAACTACAATTCTTGTTATGTCATGAAGCAGACATAGTAATTTGACAACTCTTTTTCATGTCAGAAATATTTTCCTGAGTTTTAGATGAGATTTACAGATGAAGATCCTAGAAAAATGATAGGATGAGCGGTAATGTTTTTAAACTGAAAGAAGGTAAATTCAGACTGGATCTAAGGGAGAAGGCTTTTACAGTGAAGGTGCTGAAACACCCTAGAAACATTCAAGGGGTGTTGGATGTGGCTCTGAGCAACCTGATCCAGCTGAAGGTGTCCCTGCTTATTGCAGTAGGATTGGATAAGGTGGCCTTTAAAGGTCCCTTCCAACTCAGATGTATTCTGTGATTTTATTTTAAAATTCTAAATGTCACAGATCATTTGACAGTTCTTCAGGCTCTTAAGATCAAATCAGATTTTTTCTGATAAATGCCTGAATGAGCCTATGTAGTGAGTCTTTTTAATATTCTGTCTGTGCCAAAGCTGTTTCACTTGTACCTTGCAACTTGTACTTATCTGAGCAAGATTCTTTAGTGTGAGCTCAAATACATGAGAAAACTTCTTGAAATCACAGTGGCTACCTGTGTGCTTGCTGATGGAAACAGGTTGCTAAGGGGGAGAGTTACAGCTCTAATGCCATTTTGCACAGCACTGATTAGTGCAGATGCTAACCCAGGACTTTGGTACCGATACAGATTGGAATCTATGAAGATTTTGGTACATATATAGATTAAATTTATTAGCTGCAGTAGGCATACTCCAAAATATAGGAGCTTTTTTTCCTCTCTCAGAGTTTCAAGTTGTAGATGTATAATTGTTGCATCAGAGTACTGGTAATCCTTTTTGACTCCATCAGTCTTTCCTAATTCCTTTCAAAAGAAGTTCAAACCAAGCTGATTGTGTATTATTCTTCACTTATTCAGTTGTGGATTCTCTTTTCATTTTTTTCCCTACGATTTTTTTTTTCATTTTTCATAAGTCCCAGGGAAGATTTTTTCTTCTTGAAGCAGCAGTGATGTTATTTTACCTCTGTAATTTTTGATGCTTCTGTTATGATCCAGTTATTGAGAGATGCCTCTGCATAATTAAGGTGTAAACAAAGGGTTGAGGTGATACCAGCAATATGTGTACAAGCAGTTGCTGCTCCACAATTTCCACAGAAGTGGGAACCCTTGTCTGGATGTGTTACCCAGAATGAGCCAGGCCAACCTGCCACTCCATCCGGTGCTTATCTCATGGCAAAACACTTCTGTGGTGTTAAAATCACATTTCCCTGTCTCAAACAGTGTTTAAGTCCTTACAGCCCCTCAGTGGTGATGTGAAGTGTGGTCTCTAACGCAGCCAGGTTATCAGGTGGTGGTGTCCACATCACAATTCATGTCTGCTCTAACATCCC